CCCCCCCCCCCGCCCCCCAAAACAGTGTTTTTGGTCTGGTCTGTATTCTTTCTCATCTTTATCACAAGAAATACTGAAAAACCGTGGGGTCCTCCTTTTACGGGCACAGATATCTCTGTAGGTGGATTTCTGGACTTTCATTTGTCTACAGAATATTTACCTGCTGCTGACCAGCACTTGGAAAGATTCTGTGTAACCCACAGAGGCAAGGAGCAGCCAGCTTCTCGGCGGTAACTGAGAGTCAGTGACGCTGGCTCTTCGTATTTGACTAGTAGTTACGTTACCTTCCTTGTTTCCGTCTCATGAATACGTGCCCTGCCAACTAAGCGATTCTAGGGAGTGAGGGCCTCGGGCCCAGGAGACTTAATACATTGATTCCCCTGCACACCAGTTGATATATAGTCAGCTTTCCCTCAGTGATTTGAAGTTTTCAGGAATGTTTTCATTCCCGAGTGGAGAGAAGAACCACACTTGAAGTGCTGGAATCGTCACAGTGAGAACATTGGCCCAGGGCTCTCTGGGGCTCTGCCAGGGACGAGGAGATAGAACCATCTTGACCGAAGGCCACCTCAGCGCCCCCCCCCCCCGAGCGTCTGCTCAGGCTGCTGTGGCATGCACGTCTAGAAAGAATAGTAATTCTAGGTGTGTGTTTTTACACATACCAAACACACATGCCAACAGATGGCAGGAGGCATGGCACACGGTTGGAGAGTGAGCTCTCCGTAATGGGCTGTCACTGGTCCACATCAAGCAGTGGGAAAGGGCATGTGCAGGCTGAGATTGCCTGGGAAACTTGCGGGAGACGCACGGGCTGGCGTGGGCTCTCGGAGGATAGCCAGCTGTGGCCAGGCGGAAAGGAGAGTCCTCTGGGCGGGGCGGGACTAGCATCCAAAGCCCCCCCCCACCCCAGGGCTTATTTAACAGACTGGGAGTGAGGCCAGTCTGTTCTTGGATCCATCCCCCCAGCCTGGGGATGGGCCTCTTCACTCTAGTTTCTTCTCCTACTCTTAGGACAGTAAGGAGACCAGCAAGATGAAAATAGGGGGTTCTTGCTGAAGACCCAAGTGTGGGCCTTGTCGGGGAGACCAGCTGGGGTGGCTTTGGGAATGAGACCCCGGGGCTGAACGTGGATCTGTTGAGTAGGAGACCCTTGAGCTTGGCTGAGCTAGGAGCTGGTTTTGAAAATTACCTCCTTTTGAATTAATCGAGTGTATTCTGTGGGAACTCCATTTGAGCTGCTTGGTTGGCTGATCCGCTCTTACACTTCGCGGTCTCGTTTTACTGTTTGCTTTAGGTGTCCTGCCCTCGAAGAGAAAGGTGAAGGTGTGATGGGTTTGGAGGAGAGAAGGTAGCTGTTAGTGGGGGACAGGTTGGTGAGGCCTTGAGCGTCCAGCCCACTGTGGGCCCAGGGTGGGCACAAGACAGGGTGTGTTGGTCTTCCCAGAACTCTGCGGTGTCCCGACCAGCGCTTAGCCCCACATCTTCATGCTCTCCCGAGTCCAGCTTCATGATGGGCTGTTTTTCGTGTCTGTGAGCCACTCCGCCACGTCCTCCCAGCCAGCTCTCGACCTGAGTTCAGACTGTCTGTGGGTGAATGTGCGAGTGTACCTGCAGAGCTCCTGGCTGCCCACCGGGTCTGCCGAGGCAGAGCTGTGGTCTGCAGTCGGCTCCACGGAGGTCAAAGTTAAGAACATCTGGGCTACAGGAAGGAGGATCGGAGACATGCTAGTTGTCAGCTTCCCCCAGAGGATTTGGAGACAAGTGGGCATGGGGTTTTCTCACCCTCTGTGACCTTCCCAGTGGGTTTATGGAAAGGAGCCCTCAATGTGCAGAAAAAAGAAAGTTGGCCTTTGTGGGATGCTCAGCAAAGAAAGACGTGGCACCATTGCCAGCCTCAGCCTGTTGGCGCCCAGACCCCTTCGAGGTGCAGGGTCTCCCTTGGGGGCAAAGCTACGGCCCACAGGCTGCTCTGGGTCCCCCGAGAGTCCTGCCTGAAGAGGGGACAGAGCAGCCTCAGAGACACGTGAAAAGCCAGATTCTGGGGTCTCACTTTTCACCTGGCAGATTCTCCTGTGCCTTCACCCCCCTGCCGGCTCCCCACTTCTGGGCATCAATCCCAAGATGGTTAAACCAGAATCTTCACTTCGGCTCCATTATTCAGGAGAAGTAGGAAAAGTTGCAGTGGGCTCCGCTGCTTCCTCTTGCCTTAGAGACCCAGGCAGCAAGAGGCCTGGTCCTGCTCTCTGGCTGTAACCATAGTAACAGCGGGGGGAACAGGCTTGGAGCTTGTCATCATTACCCGCCCCCCCCCATCAGGACCAACACGCAGGGCTGTGGGAAGCTGTGAAGGAAACCTGTGCCAATTTGGTTCATTCACAAATCCCTGATTAGGCTCTTCCTGCGGTCGGTGTGTATGTCGTTCAGACGTCGTGTTCCCGTGGAAATTACGAACGTTGAAAAACCACCCGGGGAAGTTCACAGTGGCACCGTGAGCTGCCTGCAAGCCACCACCGTGCCCGGCATGGCCTGGCAGAAGCGGATCCGCGGGTCTCGTTGGCAAAGCAGTTTTTAAATTACAAAGGAAGCTAATGTGTTACCTTCTTATCCTCTAAACCCATATTGTCCATTTAATGCTCTTAACTATTTCGTATTTGTCCATTTCCCTCCACAGGTGGAAGAGAGACCAGAAAAAGATTTCACCGAGAAGGTAAGGAATCTCTGGAAGCCTTTATGTTGTGTTGTTGATAAACCACGTGAGGCCCAACGTGTATGGACAAAACTGACAAGAGAATACGTTGGTTAATCTTGAATGAAGATGCCCACCCGGGAGTGAACAGGGCGTGCATGTGGCACCACAAACTCCAGGGAGTCCCCCAGAGCCACTTCCAGCCTGGGTGTTAAAGCCCGCAAAGAGCAGAGGCATCCACCATGGACCCAGGCATGAGCTTCGGGTTGACCCAGACTAATTCCCGGGTCTCCATGAGGCCCCTCAAAGTGAACCTCTCTTTATTGCTTTCCATAAGCCCCTGGAGATTTGACAACATACAGTAGACTTGCAGGGGGCTCTGGTTTTGTCTGAAATCACATTTGGACCTTGTGGCTTTGCAGGGCTCACGTAGCCTGCCCGGCCTGTCTGCAGCCGCCCTGGCCTCCCTGGGCGGGACCTCTCGGAGGGGAAGTGGGGACACCTCCATCTCTGTTGACACGGAGGCGTCCATTAGGGAAATCAAGGTAAGGCTGCCTACCTACTTGTGTCCTAGAGGAGCCTCTTAGGAAAATCGGTCTTCGAGCGTAAGTTTGTAAAGTTCTGGATCTTTCTTCTGGGTCCAGTCTCCCCCACGTTCACATGTTCTAGTCACACTAAGACCAGCTCAGATTGGGTCTCCCGCAAGAAGCTGCTGCACCTGCCCGCCCCACCCCGGTGGGCCCTCGGGCACACCCTGCGGTGCTTGGCTCCTTCCGTATACCTGGCGTGCACAGACAGGTGGTCTCCGTTTTTCTGGAATAGTCTCCATTTTTCTGGACCCCAGATTACTCAACTGCTCCCGACAACACTCCCCTGCCCTTTGCGTGTCCCCCCTCCCCTGCCTAGAATATGCCCCTCCTTTCTATCTATAGTATGCACACTGTGCCTCGAATAGATCATCGTTGTGTTTTAGTGATTTTTTTTTCTCCTCCCACTGGAATGTAAGCATCATTCTGTGCTCCAACCTCACCACTCGATGGGGGCCACTCTGAGCATGTAAGAGACAAAGGCAGGACTGTCTGGAAAAGTAATTAGGAACCTCAAGAGACTGGCTGTCCTCTGGAGAGCAGAGCCAAGGCCCGAGGGGGAAACGTCAAGGATGGGACTTGGCTTCATTGAGGGAAGAATTTTCTATTAATTAAAACTGGTGAAAAGGGAACCCCGCTGCAGGTGGTATCTGAAGCTGGATGACCACCTGCCAGGGAGGTTAGAGAAGGGATCTAGCATCAGCCAGGGCGGGGTCTGGGCTCCCTAAAAGTGCCTTCAGAGTCCTGTGCTTTGTAAGGACAGTTTTTGTGGGCTGCTCTTCCTAAAACGTCCGCGCGCCCTCCCTGGGCCTCCAGCGGCTCTTTGCCCGTCCCTTTGCTGCGTCCAAGTGCAGTTTGCTGCAATCCTGAGTCGTCTCTGCTCGTAGTCTTGAGAGCACCGTTCATTCGCTCGGCGAGCGTGTACTGAGAGTCTAGCTCAGACCAGACGCCGGGCCCCAGGAGTGCGGAGCAGAGACGCGAAGCTCTGTAAATGCAGGGACGGAGCTCGGCTGAGTCCCACCTTTAGTATTTTCCTCTATCTAGCACCAGGTAGCAACCCAAAGAGTCTGAGTTTTAACTATCAAATATGAGTAAAAGAACCTGTTCCACTTTTGGAAACTCCTTTGTCTGTTTTATAAAAAATTGTGCAAAAATATAATAATATAGATCTGCATTTTGTAAAATTTTGTGACAATATCATATGAGATAGACTTCAGTTTTAAGCTTTGTGATTTTGAAATTCATTTTATTTTCCTTCAACACTTAAAAAAAGAGAGAAGAAAAGAAAATCACTGCCCAGACTCCCCAAATGAGGGAAACAACCCAGAAGTAGAAAAGATTTAGAGGACGGCTTCTCTTTCTTTGTGGTCATGCTCACTTTTCTCCCCCCGATGTCATTTGCCTCTTTTGCCAATTCCTAGGAACTGAATGAGTTAAAGGACCAGATTCAGGACGTAGAAGGCAAATACATGCGGGGGTTGAAAGAGATGAAGGTATACCAGTTTCTGGAAGTGTGGGCTGATGGTATTAACCCAGTTTAACTTCAGAAAACCTAAAGAAGACACATAGACTGCATGCTCGCTCTCAAGAGCCTCCAGACTCCAGAATTCGAGGTGGCAGGAACACGGGCGTGGCCTTGTGCCCTGAGTGGTCTCCCTGATGCAGCTTTTGAACCGAGACCTGGGCCCTGTAACCCTCAGTAGAAACAGTTACTAACACACTTCCTGATGCATGTTTCTGACTCACCCTCCTCACCCGGCCCACACCCAGGTTTCTTCTCACTTCCCACAGAAGTGCACCGTATGCTTGCAGAAGGGTTTGAGGGTTTTTCTTCACTGTCTGTAGTCGCTCCATACAAATAATGCTTCACTTAATTTGCTTCTCAAAGCATTGGATGTGTACCAGGAAGGCTGTCTTTATTGCCATGCTTCTGAAACACCCAAAGTACTTGCTTGCATGTTGTAAAGTTTCACTAATTGAAGCAGCGTCCAAACGTGCACCCTCTCGGGTTTATCTGAGCCAATAGACACTACTGTAAGAATGTGTTATCACTGCCATGTGCCAACCAGGAAATTTAGTTGCCGTATTCCTCGGTGGTGAGGTGGGTAGTTGAGGACTGTGTTCTCTGTGGTTCTAGCAATAGATGGCAAGCCTGTTACTTCCTCTTCAGGTCCCCAGAAAGGGCCCCCAGAATAGGCTTGAGTTTTCTATCACAGGGGCACCAACCAGAGGCCATGTTTGTTTTAAAATGACGAATTAATCCCTGGCATGCTTGTCACCTCTCCTTGAAGAGAGGGGGAAGTTAGGGTTGACTTTGAGTGCATGGTGAGAAGGGGGTCACAGAACCAGCCCAGGAGCCACGGGTCCCACCTAAAATTGTCACCCTGGTTCGCAAGTGCAGACGAGCATAGCACGGGTCTCCGTGAGGCCTCCTCAGAGGCCCTAACCACGCAGTGCCCACCTCACTTTAGCTTCAGGCGGTTCCCACCCCCAGGGATTCACCCTCCCTGTTCTGGGGTCCCCTTCCTCTGATCTGTGCTTGGGGACGAACTTGCTGCTCCCCTCCATTGCCTGGCCAGTGAGAGTTTGAGCCGCAGGAGGGCCGTGTTTCCTCTGCAGGCCTCTCCCCGGGGCTGTCCTTCCAAAGGAATGCCGTCTGTCCTTCCAGGACAGACCCAGTGAGACGTGTGTAGCTTGTTGAGTCGTCCTGTAGGTCGAAACTTAAAATTCCACCTAATCCTCTCCTGGTTCATAAGCCCAGACAGGGGCAGCCGACAGTGGCAGGTGCCGCGTTCTCTCAGCCGACGCTCACTGGCTCTTGCCGGGGTTCTGGTCACATTTCCTGAGGGACTACTTCCGAAACCTGTCAAACGGCCCAAGCTGCTACAACGGGCGCCACCGAGTCCCGCGGTCAGGTCACGGGGTCAGGCCCAGAGCCTCCCCGTCACGTGTCTCCCTTGTGCTGATGGCCATGGAAGCCGTCTTCTTCCCAGATACAATTAAGAACTAACTTTCTAAGTTAATAACTAATATTCTGAGTGGTTAATAACCGACTTGACCCCATTGAAAGGGGGGAATTTTGTGCATTTGAAATTATCGTGTGTTTCTTATTCTGATCCATTTGCCCTAAGAAATAAAGTCTAAAAATAGGGCTAGTTTTGGGGGGTTTTGGTTTTTTTTTTTTATTTTCTTCAAAGAGCACTGAGCTAATCTCTGTTTTTGTTCTCTTATACAATTTCAAAAACATGACACGGTTTCTGCAGGACTCATTAGCAGAAGTTGAAGAGAAATATAAGAAGGCTATGGTTTCCAATGCTCAGCTGGACAATGAAAAGACGAACTTCCTGTACCAGGTCGATACCCTAAAGGACATGTTGCTGGAGCTTGAAGAGCAGCTGGCTGAGTCCAGGCGGCAGTATGATGAAAAAAACAAAGTAAGCACCAGTGTGAGAGAAAACAGTGGGTGGGGAGTGTGTGTGTGTGTGTGTGGCATACGGCGTGTCTGTGGGGGGTGTGTGTGTGGTGTGTGGGTGTGTGGTGTGTGCG